CGTCAGGTTTGAGGTGCAGGTTTGACGTCAGGTTTGAGGTGCAGGTTTGACGTCAGGTTTGAGGTGCAGGTTTGACGTCAGGTTTGAGGTGCAGGTTTGACGTCAGGTTTGAGGTGCAGGATTGAGGTGCAGGTTTGAGGTGCAGGTTTGAGGTGCAAGTTTGAGGTGCTGGTTTGAGGTGCAGGTTTGAGGTGCAGGTTTGAGGTGCAGGTTTGAGGTGCAGGTTTGAGGTGCAGGTTTGAGGTGCAGGTTTGAGGTGCAGGTTTGAGGTGCAGGTTTGAGGTGCAGGTTTGAGGTGCAGGTCTGAGGTGCAGGTTTGAGGAGAAGGTTTGACGTCAGGTTTGAGGTGCAGGTTTGACGTCAGGTTTGAGGTGCAGGGTTGAGGTGCAGGTTTGAGGTGCAGGTTTGACGTCAGGTTTGAGGTGCAGGTTTGAGGTGCAGGTTTGAGGTGCAGGTTTGACGTCAGGTTTGAGGTGCAGGTTTGAGGTGCAGGTTTGAGGTGCAGGTTTGACGTCAGGTTTGAGGTGCAGGTTTGAGGTGCAGGTTTGAGGTGCAGGTTTGAGGTGCAGGTTTGAGGTGCAGGTTTGAGGTGCAGGTTTGAGGTGCAGGTTTGAGGTCAGGTTTGAGGTGCAGGTTTGAGGTGCAGGTTTGAGGTCAGGTTTGACGTCAGGTTTAAGGTGCAGGTTTGACGTCAGGTTTGAGGTGCAGGTTTGAGGTGCAGGTTTGACGTCAGGTTTGAGGTGCAGGTTTGACGTCAGGTTTGAGGTGCAGGTTTGACGTCAGGTTTGAGGTGCAGGTTTGACGTCAGGTTTGAGGTGCAGGTTTGACGTCAGGTTTGAGGTGCAGGTTTGACGTCAGGTTTGAGGTGCAGGTTTGACGTCAGGTTTGAGGTGCAGGTTTGACGTCAGGTTTGAGGTGCAGGATTGAGGTGCAGGTTTGAGGTGCAGGTTTGAGGTGCAAGTTTGAGGTGCTGGTTTGAGGTGCAGGTTTGAGGTGCAGGTTTGAGGTGCAGGTTTGAGGTGCAGGTTTGAGGTGCAGGTTTGAGGTGCAGGTTTAAGGTGCTGGTTTGAGGTGCAGGTTTGAGGTGCAGGTTTGAGGTGCAGGTTTGATTTGCAGGTTTGAGGTGCAGGTTTGAGGTGCTGGTTTGAGGTGCAGGTTTGACGTCAGGTTTGAGGTGCAGGTTTGACGTCAGGTTTGAGGTGCAGGTTTGACGTCAGGTTTGAGGTGCAGGTTTGACGTCAGGTTTGAGGTGCAGGATTGAGGTGCAGGTTTGAGGTGCAGGTTTGAGGTGCAAGTTTGAGGTGCTGGTTTGAGGTGCAGGTTTGAGGTGCAGGTTTGAGGTGCAGGTTTGAGGTGCAGGTTTGAGGTGCAGGTTTGAGGTGCAGGTTTAAGGTGCAGGTTTGAGGTGGAGGTTTGAGGTGCAGGTTTGAGGTGCAGGTTTGATTTGCAGGTTTGAGGTGCAGGTTTGAGGTGCTGGTTTGAGGTGCAAGTTTGACATGCAGGTTTGACGTCAGGTTTGAGGTGCAGGTTTGAGGTCAGGTTTGAGGTCAGGTTTAAGGTGCAGGTTTGACGTCAGGTTTGAGGTGCAGGTTTGAGGTGCAGGTTTGAGGTGCAGGTTTGACGTCAGGTTTGAGGTGCAGGTTTGACGTCAGGTTTGAGGTGCAGGTTTGACGTCAGGTTTGAGGTGCAGGTTTGACGTCAGGTTTGAGGTGCAGGTTTGACGTCAGGTTTGAGGTGCAGGTTTGACGTCAGGTTTGAGGTGCAGGTTTGACGTCAGGTTTGAGGTGCAGGTTTGACGTCAGGTTTGAGGTGCAGGATTGAGGTGCAGGTTTGAGGTGCAGGTTTGAGGTGCAAGTTTGAGGTGCTGGTTTGAGGTGCAGGTTTGAGGTGCAGGTTTGAGGTGCAGGTTTGAGGTGCAGGTTTGAGGTGCAGGTTTGAGGTGCAGGTTTAAGGTGCTGGTTTGAGGTGCAGGTTTGAGGTGCAGGTTTGAGGTGCAGGTTTGAGGTGCAGGTTTGAGGTGCAGGTTTGAGGTGCAGGTTTGAGGTGCAGGTTTGACATGCAGGTTTGACGTCAGGTTTGAGGTGCAGGTTTGAGGTCAGGTTTGAGGTCAGGTTTAAGGTGCAGGTTTGACGTCAGGTTTGAGGTGCAGGTTTGAGGTCAGGTTTGAGGTGCAGGTTTGAGGTGCAGGTTTGACGTCAGGTTTGAGGTGCAGGTTTGAGGTGCAGGTTTGAGGTGCAGGTTTGAGGTGCAGGTTTGAGGTGCAGGTTTGAGGTGCAGGTTTGAGGTGCAGGTTTGAGGTGCAGGTTTGAGGTGCAGGTTTGAGGTGCAGGTTTGACGTGCAGGTTTGAGGTGCAGGTTTGAGGTGCAGGTTTGAGGTGCAGGTTTGAGGTGCAGGTTTGAGGTGCAGGTTTGACGTCAGGTTTGAGGTGCAGGTTTGAGGTGCAGGTTTGAGGTGCAGGTTTGAGGTGCAGGTTTGAGGTGCAGGTTTGAGGTGCAGGTTTGAGGTGCAGGTTTGAGGTGCAGGTTTGAGGTGCAGGTTTGAGGTGCAGGTTTGAGGTGCAGGTTTGAGGTGCAGGTTTGAGGTGCAGGTTTGAGGTGCAGGTTTGAGGTGCAGGTTTGAGGTGCAGGTTTGAGGTGCTGGTTTGAGGTGCAAGTTTGAGGTGCAGGTTTGAGGTGCAGGTTTGAGGTGCAGGTTTGAGGTGCAGGTTTGAGGTGCAGGTTTGAGGTGCAGGTTTGAGGTGCAGGTTTGAGGTGCAGGTTTGACGTCAGGTTTGAGGTGCAGGTTTGTGGTCAGGTTTGAGGTCAGGTTTAAGGTGCAGGTTTGACGTCAGGTTTGAGGTGCAGGTTTGAGGTCAGGTTTGAGGTGCAGGTTTGAGGTGCAGGTTTGACGTCAGGTTTGAGGTGCAGGTTTGAGGTGCAGGTTTGAGGTGCAGGTTTGAGGTGCAGGTTTGAGGTGCAGGTTTGAGGTGCAGGTTTGAGGTGCAGGTCTGAGGTGCAGGTTTGAGGTGCAGGTTTGAGGTGCAGGTTTGAGGTGCAGGTTTGAGGTGCAGGTTTGACGTGCAGGTTTGAGGTGCAGGTTTGACGTGCAGGATTGAGGTGCAGGTTTGAGGTGCAGGTTTGACGTGCAGGTTTGACGTGCAGGTTTGAGGTGCAGGCAAGTGTCCGCACCCACCCCCCCCTCCATTGTGGTTATCAGCCGGCGGCCGTGACGCGTCAAGCCCCATTCCAGCCATGGCAGACTTTGCCATCACGGATGCAGCAACGTCCGTGATGTACCTATCGCCCTACGCACGATCCCTCCCTGCAGATGTACCTGCGGCTGATCGTGCAAACACCCCTGAAGCAATTATTCTACCCCCACCACCCTTTCAAACGCTTGCAACACTTTTGCAGCGTCCGCGGCAGCTGCAATGGCTTGCAAACGGCGTTGCTGGGATCTGGGGAGGGCGTGCCGCTCCATGTTATCTCCATTGGGTATCTCGCCGCCTCGTCCCGCCCCCCTTCCGCATCCGCCACTAACTTTCCCTCCTCTCCTCTCCCAGCACCCACTCTACCTCAGACCATATGGCATGTGAAATGAATTCCAAAACCAACCGTGCGAAGTAGCTGTATCAACCTTACCTGAGCCTAGAACAAGAGAAGAAGACATATGTACCGAAAGTGAAGAGAGTGATATTGTCCTTCCACCGAACTTGTTTGCGTACTATGTTGCACTATACGCTGGGGGCCTTTCCCGTATCACGTTTATGCGTTCACGTATAAACGGAAAAACGTGATACGGGGACAAATACGCGATACGCCTGGGCGGGCAGCCCGTCGAAAAAAAAAAAAATGTTGCGACCGTTCTCGCGATCTGTGATTCTCCGTAACCTAATTTTGAGATCTGAAAGTCGAATGCCTTCCCCCGCACCCACCCCCCCCTTCCACCGCACATAACCTCACACCACCTCCCAAACCCAACCCTTCCCTTCCAACCACACTTAGGCTTTCACGTCGTCAGCTTCGAAAACCTATGTGATACGGGGACAAATACGCGATACGCCTGGGCGGGCAGCCCGTCGAAAAAAAAAAAAATGTTGCGACCGTTCTCGCGATCTGTGATTCTCCGTAACCTAATTTTGAGATCTGAAAGTCGAATGCCTTCCCCCGCACCCACCCCCCCCTTCCACCGCACATAACCTCACACCACCTCCCAAACCCAACCCTTCCCTTCCAACCACACTTAGGCTTTCACGTCGTCAGCTTCGAAAACCTATGTCGACCGCTAATGTCGCAGCTGGACGCAGGAAGGCAGAGGGGCGCAGATTTGGCATTCCGCCGCCAGATCCGCGCGATTCTAGTATTCCGCCAGCAGATCGACGCAGATCGGCAAGAAACATTGAATATAGGGACCATCACTCACTCCCTGGCACTTTTTCCCCTGCCCGGAACTTTTTTTCCCCTGCCCGGGCGAACGTATTTGGAGCGTATCCTGGGGCGGAAATCCCCCGTATCACGTTCGTACGTAAGCGTATAAGTCGAACGCGACTGATACGCGAATCGCGTATAGTGCAACATAGTTTGCGTAGACCTAGAAACAACAAAACGAAATGGTACCACTTCTCAGATCTGGAAAACCAGATCTGAAATTTTGAAAGCTCTGAAGTTTGTACGCCACCTCTGGTGGAACATTTGACACGCGATTTTTTTTTAGACTCGCCTACGATACATAAAACTCGCGAGTCTAAAAAACTCTGACATTTGTAACTCTAGAAAGCCGAGTTTTTCACGAGTTTTTTGTAACTTGCAAGTAAAACTCGACTCGATCAGCAGAGCTTTTTAGCCAAAAAAAAGAACTCGAAACTCGAGATTTAGGAGTCCCTCAAACGAGTCAAGTAAGAACTTGACTCGTTTGCCATGTATATTTCAACCCTGCAGCCCTCACAGCTCCCATACTAACGAACTCTCAGACGTAACAACTCATCAGATATGCTGTTCCACCTGCCAGGTCGGGCACTCACGGTGGGCAGACAGAGGGCTCCACGTCAGCTGCTTGCTCGCACTGCCCACTCCCCCCCCTCCCACCCCTGGCGACATTGGGTGAGGCGGCGGTGATGATATGGAGGAGAAGGCGGAGGATGAGAGGGAGGAGGGCGAGATGAAGGCGTGGAGGCGGGAGAGGGAGGCGGAGGGGAGGGAGGAGAGGCAGGCTTGCGAGATGGCTGTGTCAAGGGCGGATGAGAGCGCGTGCTGCTGCTCTGGTAGCGAGCGAAGGCTGGCCCAGTCCTGCAGAAAGGGGGTGGGGGTATGAGGTAGAGGGAGATGGGATGGAAGCAGCAGCAAGCGGGTTAGAAGACATGGCCGTGTCCAGAGCGGACGGGAGGGCGAAGAGGCAGGCTCGTAAGATGGCCGTGTCACGAGCAATGGCAATGGTAATGGTAATGGTAATGGTAATGGTAAAGGTAAAGGTAATGGTAATGGTAATGGTAATGGTAAAGGTAATGGTAAAGATAATGGTAAAGGTAATGGTAAAGGTAATGGTAAAGGTAACGGTAATAGTAATGGTAACGGTAAAGGTAATGGTAATGGTAATGGTAATGGTAATGGTAAAGGTAATGGTAATGGTAAATGTAATGGTAATGGTAAAGGTAAAGGTAATGGTGATGGTAATGGTAATGGCAGTAATAATGGTAATGATAATGGTAATGATTGTGGTTATGGTTATGGTAATGGTAATGGTTATGGTACTAATGGTAATAATAATGGTACCGGTAATGGTAATGACAGTGGTAATGGTAGTGATAATGGTAGTAGTAATGTTAATAGTAATGATAATGGTAATGACAGTAGTAATGATAATGTTAATGGTAATGATATTGGTAATGGTAATGGTAATGGCAGTAAAAACGGAGATGAGGGGAAAGGGGTCACAGGGAATAGGGATGGGAGGAAAAGGGATGGGGCGAGAGGGGATGGGGGGAGAGGGGATGGGGGGAGAGAGAATGGGAGGAGAGGGGAGATGGGAGAGAGGAGAGGGGAGATGGGAGAGGGGCGGGGGGAGAGGAGAGGAGGTAGACGGGATGAAATAAAAAGTATGTTGAATCAGGCAGCATTCACGGGCAGCAGAGAGGGCGTGATGCTGCTGTAGGAGTGAGCGAAGGCTGTAGCACTCACCACGGCATGGAGGGCGTGCAGGACGGCAGACGGCAGGGCGGAGTGGGGCGAGAGGAAGAGGCGGTGCAGTGCGGTGCAGTGGTCACGGTAGCGCCCCACTGTGAACAGCACTTGCACTGCTGCCCTGCTCACCAGCGCGTGGCTGGTGGGGGAAGAAGGACAGGGAGGCAGGGCCGAGAAAGGTCGAGGTAAAAAATGTCTATCTGATGGTTGACTAGGGAATGGAGGGGAGGAGGAATAAAGGGCATGCAGGCAGGAGAGCGGATGGCAGGGAGGAGAGTGGTGGTGGCACTCACATCACATAATGCTCATTGCGAGCCATCACCAGCGTACCTTGCGCGGATGGGCAGCAGCAGGTGAGCATGCATGGCATCATCGAAGCTCCCATCCATGTCTGTGACTGCCATGCCTACCAGCCGCCTCTCCTCATCCGTCACATGCCCCCCTCCCCTCCCTGCTGCCGCTCCACGCCCACCCGCCTTTCCACCCGGCTCCTCACTCTGCTTCTCACCAGGCCTCCCACTGTGTTGCCTACCCGGCCCACCCTGCTTCCCACTCTGCCCACTTCTCTGCCTCCCACTGTGCTTCCCACTTTGAACCTCAACGCCTTTCTGTTTTCGCCTCCCACTGCCTGCCGCTGCCCCCTTTTCTGATCCCTCCTTCTCTCCCTCTTTTACTCCCTCCTTTGTTCCCTCCTTTGCTCCCTCCTTTGATCCTTCCTTATCTCCCCTAATTCCTCCGTCCTTTCCTCCTTCCTTTGATCTCTCCGTTGCGCCTTTAGCTCCCTCAATTCCCCCCTTCGCTACTCCCTTGCTTCCTCTCCCTTGTGCATGTTCAACCCCACCCTCCCCATGCCTCCATGCATGTTCAACCGCACACCCCCCATGGATCGATGCATGCTGGAGCACTGCATGCCACGAGATGCCACTAGCACCATGAACCACACCCCCACCACAGCCATCCCCGCTACAAGCACCCTCGTTACAAGCCATCCACGTCCAGGGGAAGGCGGGGCCAGAGCGGGGGTCAGTGAGGCGCAGCATGGCACCGCACTCCACCCATGCCTTCTGCAGTTTGGAGCTGAGGGCGGTGGGGGCGGGGAATCGTGCTGACTCGTTGCTTGATATTTGCACAGCAAGCAGATTGGATAAAGGAGGCGGGTGGTTGCCCTTCCAGGGCCAATCAGCTGCTGCCACGTCATCACCAGGAGCGTGCCAGGAAGGCTCATGCGACCAGCCACAGCCAGAGCAGATCTGCTCCCTCTCTCGTTCCTTCCCTAATGATTGTCTTTCCTTTGCTCTGTCGGGAGGTGCGGACCAGACAGAACCCGGAGGGGGGGGCAGTGGTGGCAGTGGTAACGGTGCTGCTGTTTCTGCTGCTGCTACTGCCTCTGCAGATTGCAAACCACTTGAAGCTTCATCTCTTACAGATGATTCCATGCTTAATACTGCCACTGCTGCTCCCTCTGCTGCTCGCGCTGCTGCTCCTTCTGCTGCTGTTGCTGTTGCTAACACTTCCCCCAACACATCACCCACATCAGCAATCCAAGCCTCGCCTTCTGCAGCGGACCGAGGTTCCAGGGCGTCTAGAAGCTGCCGAACCTGCACCTCAGCCTTGGCAAGCCGATGCTGGACGATCTCTCTGGTTCGGGCAACCCCAGCCAGGGTGAAATCGATGGACCAATCAGACGCGAGAGCTGGTAGAATGTGACGTGGCTTTTCTCCTTTGGTTGACAGAGAGGGGAAGGGGTGTGAATGGGGAAGGAGGAGGCAGGAGAGGAGGGAGGAGAGACGGGAGGCGAGTTGGCGAATGGGGGGGGATGGGGCGGAGAGGAGTATGTGCTGCTGCTGTGCTGTTCTTACAACGAGGTGTGACACTGGATGGAGGAACAAGGGCAGCAGGTGGTTGATCTGGTGTTGTGGGGGAAAGGAAGCGGAGAGGGGAGACAGGGGCGAGGAACGAAAGGCATGGATGGAAAGGGGAGGCACAGGGCACAGGGCACAGTTGACCTGGAGCTTTGCCACTTAGACTGAGCGGAACTGTATTCAGCCAAGTTGAAAGAACCATTTTAATGCGTGCAGGGTCTAACGGATCAACACGCATGCGAAGTTGACCCTGGTTGGGTACTGCCCAAGAGAGATGGTGAACTCCAAAAAAACGAAGAAATAACAAAACGAGAAGAAAAGTGAGACAGAACAAGTCAATTGACTTTAATTGATAGCAGAGAAAGGTTAAAGACGCACCTTGCAGGGACGAAGAAAGAATGCCGCACTCCGCGCATCGCCGGCTGCTGCCTGGTTGGACAGGAAACGAGGTGTGTCGAACTGTGATGGGGATATCATTTGTGATGGGATAACCTGACGGGATGGGGTAACCAGATGAGACGGGGTAACCATGCGTGAAGGAGTGACGATGCGAGTGGGAGTGAACTGCCCAGCAGGGGTAGCAGGGCTACGAGTGATGGCGATGGTGACGTTGGTGGCAGGGTTAGCAGTCCCAGCACCAGCAGCACTCCCAGCAGCAGCAGCGGCAGTGGCAGTGGCAGCAGCAGCAAGGGAGGGGTGCAGGGAGGAGAGGTCACCCAGAGCCATGGTGCTCATGAGCTGGCACATGAGCGGACGGCACGACGACACAAACAGCCACCTCACCGCCTCCATTGAACCATCGCCTCCTCCTTTCCGCTGCTGCTGCTGCTGCCCCTGGTTCTGCTGGTGGTGCTTCTGACTCAAACCACACGCACTGGTGCTGTTGCCGCTGCTGCTATCTGCTGCTGCGAGGTGGAGCATGGTGTGGAGGTAAGAGAGGATGGCTGCGGCTTGGCTGCTGTGGGTGGTGGTGGGGCGCACGGCTCTGCTGCCCCCGCTGGCAGCAACAGCACGGTCTGTGTGGTGAGTGTGGGGCGTGAGGTGCATGTGGTGCGTGTGGGGCGTGTGTGGAGGGGGTGGAGTGAGAGGCATGCCTCGCATGCCTGAGCTGCTCAGATCTGGCGCGCCAGCCATGAGCATCTGAGGGCAGTGGTAAACCACCGACCATTCATCCTCCACCTTCCCCCCTGCTGTTTCCTTCCCTTTCAGAGCCCCGCCCTCCCATGGCTGCCCCTTCCCCTCACCCCCTGCTGTCTCCTTCCCTCTCGAATCCATCCCCAGCAGCACCACCAGCCGCCTCAGCTGCGCCCTCAGTCGCCTGCTCTGCATGGCCAGTAGAAGCACCGCATCTGAAGGACCGGCAGGACTGGCTGCTTGTGAGCGTGCAGAGCTGAAACGATCTCTTGCTGCTGTTGGTGGTGAGGCAGAAAGAGAGGCGACGCACGTACGGGCGAGCTGGGCAACCCCGGCCTCGTACTGAGCGAGAACCAGCAATAGCGCCCTCCCAAAACCCCTCAGAACCGCGTCATCTCCCTCTGCACCGGCCCCTCCTGCTCCCACTGCGCCACCCTCTAGCCTTGGCTCGCCACGCTGAGACCTGGGAGTGGCATGATCATGCGGGTGTTGAGGAGGGGGAAGAGGGTGTTGACTGCTGCTCTTAAGCAATGCACTCTCTGCACGCTCTCCCCCCTCCTCGCCGCCCTCGCTCTCGTCGTCGTCACTCTCCCCGCCCGTCCACCCCATCCACACATCCCCACTTTCTGAATCCCAGTCTGAACCCTCCCCATCGCTCCCAACATCATCGGCAGCAGCGTCGCCACATGCGTTACCACCTGCGCTGCCCGCATCTGCCGCCTGCTGCACCATCCTGCACGCAGCTAACGGGCACGGCACACTTGCCAACTGGCAGTCCACGTCAGCAGGCACACGTGGCGCGGCCCACGCTGCGTCGGCAGCAGCAGGAGCAGCAGCCAGCAGTCGTGCAGCGAGGTAGTGCAGTCTGCGGCACACATGCCCATCCGCCACTACCTCGCCCAGCACTGCCTCTTCAATCCCCTGCCTCGCTACGGCCTGTGCCACTCTTGCTGTTGCAGCTGCCGTTGTGGGATCTCTCTTCTGCGAGCCAGTGGGAGCAGCGGGAGCAGAGGGTGCAGCGGTGCGGGCGCGGAGGGCGTGGAGGACGTAGAGGGCGGCGGGCTGCCCCCTGAGAGCGCACGCTGCCACGAGGGCGAGGGCGTGCGGATGCTGGCAGGCGGAAAGAAGGGGGGTGTTGCGAGGGAGAGAGGGAGGTGAAGAAGATGGGGAGGGAAGTGGAGTCGGGAGGGACGAAAGCAATTGGGCTAAGCAATGGCAGTACAGAGCTGAGATAGAATACGAGGCGTGTTGCAATGCCACCGCAGCATCTTGTGACGGCAGGCATGGAGCAGGTAGTGTGTGAATCATTCCAGCATAGAAAACCCACCTTGCTGCAGCTGCTCTCGCTTCCTGCCATCGCCACGTCATCTGCGCTGTCAGCACACCGCGCAGTCACGCGGCTGCCTCCTCCAATCCTATCGTCCCTTAAACCCGGTGGCCTATCTTCGCCGCTCCTCCACTCTCCTTCACCCTCACCCAATCCTTCCCGAGCCTGGTTCCCCTTCCACGAGCAGAGATTCCCGAATTCCAACACGCGATCCAAGGTGTCTAGGTGCGAGCTTTGAGATGCCTCAGAACTGGCTCCTAGGTGTGCGTTGGAACTTGCTTCAGTTAGAATGCACGGAGAAGGGTACAGGTCGGTGAGAGTGAGTGGCCTGGTGGATGGCAAACAGTACCCCCACTCCTGTCGCATCTTCACTTCTAAATCCGAGATTCCCGGAGCGGCTTGCCACGTGGACATCGCGTGCATTTTCTCCGAGATGCCAGATGTCACGACGAGATTCGGCGTCAGCGCGCTCAGCATCTGGTTCAGCATCCAATTGCTTCTGGGCGGGTCGCCGCGATCCGTTACAGAACCAAACGTCCAGTTTATCCTCTTTATAAGATCACCATAGGAATCATCCAGAGAAACGCGTCTTGGCTCTCCAGATGTATCATCCGAAAAAGCGTGTATTGACTCCATTTCCGGAAGGCTCGCCGTGGAATCTGGTCGTATGGGACGCTCGTGATTAGACAGACTGATCCAAGGAGCGGATTCGGGCTGCTGAGACGGAATGCAGCGAGCATTTGCGTGTTGACGAAACTCGTTAACGTGGCTCTCGCAAGCTGTGCTTGATTCGATAGGTGAATCTGCGTTGTCTGACAGCCATGGCACATCGAACCCCCAAAGATTCAATGACGCCATTCTCCTTTGTCGGAGATTTAGCTACCCCACGTCTATTTCACGCATGCTCGTTCCGCATTCTGCTGATAACGATACCACACTAGATTCTTCAAAATATGTGCCAGTAGTAGCGTCAGTCTGACAGGGAATGAAGTACTGCCAGTCTAACAACTACTGGCAGTCCCGAGCCTGTGGGAATTTATTGGGAACGAGTGGTGCGTTGGATCATGCTCCGTTATACGCTATCAATAGCTTCTGCACCAGAATACACCTTAGTCTAAAGAGCCTGAACAAACCAGTGACAAATATATCATTTTGCATGAAGTTCATGTATACATTGCTCATTGGGATACCCAGAAGACTGTATCACGATCATTCTCAGTGAGAATGACTTTGGCGAGGATTATTGTGATCAACTTTTCATCTTTTGAGTACATAAATCCGTATTTCTGAAATCGAGGGGTCATCCGAAATGATCCCCGTGGCCAAGTTGACCAGAGGTTAGGGATCGCTGACCAAAAGTGGCTGACCAGAAGCTATAACCAGAGGCTTGACCAGTGCCCGGAATGTACCTTCATTTCGGGAGTTGCGAGCTGGAGCCAGGGTGACTGGCTCCTTCAATCTCGCCCTAACAATTTGGGCTCACAGGTTCAGCGGCTGACCATTCCGCTGGCTGGTTATTCTGGTTGGACATATCGTTGGTGCACAGACAAGCGTCATCATAATCTGATGGTGCTTTTCCAGCGCACAAATCCACGTCACGATCACAACCAATCGAAATTAGCCATGGATTCTAATTAGAGCCTCGGATAAGAATCTCTGAAAAGCCCTCTGAATCCACGTGATTTCTGGAACACATTTCGACTGACCGTTTGTGCGCTATTCCTTTGAACTGGGATAGCGTGCTTGCCTAGCACGTGTTTCAGAAAACAGAACACAAACACTTTGGGTCAGCAACAGTAAACACTACGGAAAAATGTGATTTGGGGAAAACAAATTTACCTGCGACTTTTAGGCAGTAAGCCAGCTAGCCTTTAGATTCGCCATTGTGATGTGCCTGTGGCGTTAGGATCTTCAAAACTTGCCCGAAGGCAAGGCGGCAGATTGCGCGTCCTCCAGAGACTGGTCCGTTGCGCGCCAGGCTGTCTCGATGAGGGCGCCCGCTTCCCAGAAGGACTAGGGGCTGTGCTGCTGGCAGTTTCATCATGCCACGCGCGTCAGCACTGCCCGTGACCGGAGGCAATTTCCAGGTCATTTTCCGACCCAGTTGGGGATGCGATGCGCACATGTTGGCCCACACCACGCGCGCACGCGGTCATGGATTGGAGAGCTGACAATTGACATTACTGTACACCCCGCTCTCCCTCTTCCCTTTCGCCCCAAAAGTGGTCCCCCCTTCCCCGAGACCCATATCCCATCAGTGGTTTCCCCTCCCCCCACCTTCCCCTTCACTGACTCCTCATGTTCCGCCTACAGTGTTCCTTCTGTCTGTTCCCCGCAGCCCTCCCCAACCCAGCCTCCCCCCACACGCGTGTCTCGCAAGCTTGCGCTGAGCCCTCCGTTTCCTCCACGTCCCTCGCCTTTCTTGGCTTTCTCTCAGCCTCCACTCCAATCCACTCCACCTCGTCCTACATCTTCCACGGCTCCCTCTGCATCGCTGTCTTATTTTCACAATCGCTGGCTGCTTTGCTGGATATACCTGCCTTGCCTTCAACTTTCACCACTGAATCTTCTACTTTCGTCCTGTTGGCCCAGTGTTCAATCGCATAGCCTAGTCATTACTCCAACAAGTCAGGAAGAGTCTGACCAAGATCTTAGTATCATAGTACAGGTTAAACCTCTAGGGCATTCGTAAGGCCGCGTCTGTCCCGCCGTTTCCACCTTTGCCGGCGTTTACGGTCAGCCACCATGTGTCGCCCACCTGATGTAGTTCCCGGCGCGGCTCAGTCCGAGGCGGAGGAAGAACTCGACGCCAGGTGGCGTGCTCAGCAGATTGACGATGCCGCTGCTGCGTACGGCGGTGCTTGGAACTGGAATCCGATGACTGCTCCTGGGGGCCGGTAAGCGTTACGCCCAGCTACAGGTCCTCTAAGAAGTCGCATTTTTTTCTCAATTGTAAACGTTCGCCCTGCTGTGAAACGCACCAGGAAGCCCCAGCTTCGCGCCCCAGTATGTGACACTAAACTTTTAGTCCGTCCCCTCTCCCCTCGTTTACCCTTACTCAGGCTATTCGGCGGTAACGCTGGAATGTACGGCATGATGTCAGCAGATCCATCGCAAATGACCGCCATGCAAGCCCGCCAACCTCTTCAAGCGCAGTGGCTGCTTCCGCAGCACGCTCAACCCGCCCTCCCGAAACCGCCGCAAATGCAACCCCCGACCGCGCACACGCCGTCCGCGCAGCAGATGTTTTCGATGAGCTGGCCGCCGCACGCCGCGCACGGCATGTCGGCGCCGGCGCCGATTCTGGCGGCAAAGGGTCCGCTGGGGTACATGTCTCAGGGCATGGCGCAGGGTATTCCGTGCGGGCTGCCGCAGGAGATGGAGTTTCACGCGGGCGACATGGGCGCGATGAGCACGGACGGCATGACCGCGGAGGAGCTCGCAGACCTTGACCCGAAGAAACATAAGAGGTGAGGCGCTGGGCGGATTGGGTGTTTGTTTTGCATGACTCGAGACCGTTTATGACTCCGAAGTCCCTCCGTAGCGGCGTCTTTTTCATGTCGTCTCATCCATTCTGATCCGTCGATAGGACGTTGCCTTCCAGTTGCGGTGTTGTGTCAACGAGTTTTTGCCTCGTGCTTCTCCGTTTCCCGTTTCGTTCATCGCAGAATGATGTCGAACCGTGCTTCAGCGAAGCGGTCGCGGCAGCGGAAGCAGGAGCGACTCGAGGAGCTCGAGATTCAGAGCGCGAAGCTGCGCGTCGAGAATGCGGCCGTCACGCGGCGCCTGAACGAGGCGTCTGAGCACATTCGGCAATACCAAGAGAGCAACGACCGCCTGCAGAACGAGCTCAAACGGCTACGCGACGCGCTCGCTCGCGCCGGCGTTCCCGTTTCGAACAAGCCGGCTGACGCGGCGGCGGACGCGGATATCGCGCTCAAGGTTGGTCAGGCGGGGAAACGGGAGGTGGCGGAGCCTTTGGCGGAAGGCGCGGGTAACAAGCGCGCGAGATTAGTGGCGTCGACGAGTTTTGAAGAGTCGGAAGAGGAGGGCGTGCATTCCCCCAGCGCGATCACTGGCGCGACCGCGCCTCCGTCGCATGCAGAGGGAGTCGCGGCGGACGCGGCTGTGGTGGCGCACGGGGCGAACGCGGGGAATGAGGGGCTGGCGCGGGCGCGCGCGGAGGGCGCAGGGATGGCGGGCGCGAAGGGGATGGGGATGAAAGATGCAGACACATTGGCGGACGCTGAGTTCCTGGCGGGGCTGATTGGGTGCTTCGACGATGGCAAGCCTCTCGAAGCGCTTATCTGAACGCGACGGGGGGGCCTGGATTCTGGAATGAGAAGTGGTTTTGGCGGGTTATGAGATGGCCGTTCGGGTTGATGGTAGGGGTTTGAGAAGGGGGGGGGGAAAGGAGGGATGGGATCATGGGTCTGGGGATGGATGCGGGAAATATCCTTATTATTGTCCAGTATGCCTAAGGGCCTGTGCCCATGTAGGGAACATACGGTAGTGCTGTCAGGCACATGTATGCTAGGTTCCTTCCAACTAAACCCTTCACTGACACTTCAACCTTCAATGTAATTCCCAGAGTATCATGATTCATCAACAGAATTGGATCATGATGTTCAACCCCTAGTCAGTACAAACTGCACCACACCACCTGCCACTCAAAAGGATTTCCTCCAGGTGTTACGAGGTGGTTGGGTGGGAAATGCTAGTGACCACTGCATATTAGTTGTAGGAAGGTACCACTACATGTCACTAGCTGTGGCATGGGATGTCCTCCCTACCCTGCACCTCCCTACCCTGCATCATCTCTTCTACTGCCACTGTGACTGGATTGAGCATCAGCAGAGTGAAGCTCCAATCCCTCCCCGCATCCTCCAATGTCTTCATTGCTGTGAGCTTGTTGCGCCCGGCGTCTTCCATGCCTTGCTTGTGGTCGAGACAAATGGTGACGACTATAAGGGGTATGAACATGACCAGGAATATGTACACAAAGGTGGGCCGGATCGTGCCAGAAACCTGCAGGATGGAGGTAAAGGTGGGTGGGGGGTGGAGGAGGGTGGGCCGGATCGTGCCAGAAACCGGGTGCGCTTCTCTGGTCCTATTACCAAGACAGCAAGGGCATGGGAGAGTTGCGAGCATCATCGGTCATCGGCGATCGCGAATGGAGAGCGCCCGCTGCACTTCCTACACATGTGCGTATCCTTCCACATTTGAGGCTGGAAGCGCTCGTTCCGAGCGTTTTTCTTCCACCGGGTCACGTGGTTGCGCTTGTCTGGTGCTATTACCAAGCCATCAAGGGCGTGGGAGGGTTGCGAGCATCATCGGTTATCGGCGATCGCGAATGGAGAGCGCCC